TTGGAAATGAGAACAATACTCAGAGTTTTTTCATATGAAATTTTCCCCTATAGATATTCAATTTCTTAATTTATTGTTAGTAATTTTTAAAAAAAAAATTCCAAATAGCATGTAGACTATCTAGTATTTGCAATTCCAATTGTTAGGGTCACAATCCCATGTGGTCAATTCAATACTTTGACTCATGCATATATACAAAATATGCAAAATAAGACTTTTTTACCTTTTTCTTATAACCAGTGTGAAAAACTAGTAGGTCTAATTAAATTAATATGTTGCAAGGAGCCACTTGATTGACTTCCAAATCCTAGACATAGACTAACAAATATGAATGTTACTATGTTCCTAGCTATAGAGTACCATGAGAGACGACGAAGAAAATATTTTGTTATGATTAAAAAGTAATTAGATAATCCCTATTGTTAGCAAGACTTTAATTAGAGTTTTAGTCTTCTCTCGTTATTACTTATTAGCTGTCTACTTTTGAACAAACCATCAATGTTACTTCACCAATTTCTCCCGACATGCTACAAAGAAGATTATTGTAAGATTTGGTGGCGCATTAATCTATAGCTTTGCCTTTTATTATTAGTTAACTAGTTTAAATGTTAAATGTCCAAAATTATCATTGAAGTGGATATAATTAATTTATATGAAGTGCGCATATATTTTTAACAACCCTAAGTTCTTAGGGATGTCTCCTAAGCTCTAGAAAATAATGGAAATTCTAAAGCCAATTTGGTCCTTGAACTGTGAATTTTGTCTGATATTTTCAAATCACACCATTATCGACACGTGTTAATCACTAGATTTAAATAACCTATTTTCTTGATATTCAAATTATTCAACGAACCAAACTTGGAATTTTTAATTTAGATATATTACAAAAACCCTAATTTGCCTTTATAAATGAGGGGATCAGCTCTATATCTCTTTCACAGAATCATAGTCGTTGGGCAATGGTTTGTTTATAAAATATAAATTAATAGGTAAGATACTAAGATCGATATATTTGGGACTGTACAGCCGGTCACTTTACAAAATTTTCAGATTTAAGTAGGAACTAGGATTTCACCCGCCCTATGTGCGGGAATATTCGTGTATATGTTGTAAACTATATTAGGCTTTCGTATTATGTCG